GCAGAGTAAAGGCACAATTCTATGTAACGCCAAGGGATGGAGCCGATCGGAGATGTTTGGCTATCGACGATTCGAGTCGCTCTTCGTTGGATGCGGTCCAGAGGGAAAAGCTGGTACTGAGGTGCCCCTACATAGAGATGAGAACAGTATTCCATATCTAGCAGGACTTGCGCCTTATAAAGCTGAAGGCGGTGGGTCAGAGTGAAATACTGCCTCGATCTGTTCAGCACACCGAGCTTCTTCGACGCACATTTGACCTTACCCTTTAAGTGACCCCGAAACTGGACTTCGCTCGATATTTGATTCCGATGCTGGCTGAGGCAGTTAGGGAGGTGCTCTCAAACCGAGATGATACGACAAATGGTATCTTCTTTGCGGTGAACGCACAGACTAGTGTCTGTTTTGGGTTGAACTGGAATAGATTTAGTCGACCCAATCTGAAATCTACGCTAAAGAAGTTTCAATTACAGACACAAGTTTGTTTCGACTCTCGATGACGTTTGGGACGACGCCTTAGGAGTAAGAGAAACGAAAAAGGCGCGTTAGAACCGGTGCTAACACCACCAACACACGTCTCCAACACGATAGGAGAGATTCCATCAGGCCCACACGACTTATGAATGTCGAGGGAAAAGAGTGCTTTACGCACTGATTTTTGTATGAACCGGATATCCGGCATATAGCTCTGGCACCGTGGTATGGTCGGAGTTGCGTTTTCCCCGTTGGATGCATAGAGTTTGGCATCCTCCTCCTTGGTATCATAGACCAAAGACTTATCTCCCACCTGCAGGGGTGAATAGGATTGGCTACAGAAATTCCCCTGGACAGCCTTGGCAAGAGACCAGAATGCACGGGTTCCAGAATGTAGTCTCACCAATATCTCACCGATCCGGCTGATGTGATCCGCTTTTGCCCTAGCAATGGCTCTTTTAAGGGACCTAGAGGCAAAGTTATATTGTTTCTTTAGCGTGCTGGTATTTACATCGCCTGTCGTCGCTGCATTTGCCCATGGTAGCATTCCCGCTTTAGCGGGACGCCGTTTTGTAGGATCTGTCGAACCAGGGCCTGGATCTGCCACCGATTGGAATTAATGTAGAAGGAACGAATAGTTCCATGCCCTGAAGTACTACATCAGTGACAGAATCGGCAACGGCGGTGGGATCATCCGGCAAGTAACAGACCTGCCTCCATGGGTAAGACGCAAAGAAGGAGCGCATCCCATCCCAGTCCGCTGACCTGTAGTGCTATACACGTAGGTACTGCGGATTAAACAATGATCCGAAGGGCCAAGTGGGGCTTCAACGGCGATTTTGTAACCGTCCGGATCGGAGGTCAGCAGAAGGTCCAATAGTGAAGGCTCATGACTTTTCACATTTGGAACTCGCGTAGGCGTGCCTTGATACCAGCCATAGGTCAGGGCAAAATCATCATCATCTCCGCGGATGGGATCTGCTGCAGCACGGAATCTGTAACCATTTGGACGTGGTTCATCAGTCAGTCAGTTTCGATGTCTCCGCGCACGAATGTTCGATGGGACCGAGGCATGCGTAGACGCGGGGATGGTCGTCGCTACACGGAGCCACAAGATGGAAAGGTCCCGTCCTTCAAGATCGCTGAGGCGGCGCGAACTGATATTACCTCTAACGTACACGCACACTCCAGCGCTAGCAACAAAGGAGTGTTCCAGATGATAGCCAGGGTAGGAGAAGTAGGATGTGTCCGATGGAGATGATATCTGCGTCTCGGTTAAAAAGAGTAATGCCGGCTTCACTGTCTCGAGGTGGACAGGTCGTGGTGGACAGCTTTGAGGTTGTAGTAAAGGCCCCTTATATTGCAGAAATTCACGTCAAGCGTGGCGAAGGGTGGCCTGATGTGCCTGCTCCCGCCGCGGGCAGTTATCCTGTACAGCGCTGTTGCGCCTCCCCCCAGAATACGCGGGGCAGCCCAGATGTACACGCCAGGACGCTGTTCTGAGACGGTGTTCTGAGCGTGGACGTCCAGCGTGGGATTCTCCAACGCTAACGCAACTGGTACCCCCCCGGTGTAGAATATTTTCCAACGACGCATTCATGAGGGGGGATATATACGATTTATTATTCTTTGATCTTCCACAGGAAAGCAGTTATGTAACTGTACTAGCGTTGTACTAATGAACAGTTTCACTACAGGGAGAAGAACAATAAAAAATAGTATCAAAAAGACAAGAGTGGCATCAATGTGCTTATTAGCTCGTATATAACAATGGTAAATCTTCAGGATCTACTTAATGTGACTATATAGGCCCAAAAAGGTTTTAAATAAATTATTCTTTGATGTTGTATTTTTTTAGGCATTTTCTTTAATCGTATTGCTCCCGCCGCTGCAGAAATTTAATAGGTTTCGGTCATGGTTTACGATAAACTCTAATAATAGTGTTAGAGAGGAAGACGCATCAGGAAGTATATTTGAATACTAAGTAGACATGACAATACAAGCGTATTTTCTCGGATATTCATTTCCCCACCCATTGTCTGTTATATTTGCATATGAATGTCATTACGCATATTATGACGCTCATTCCATAGAAGTTTTAACCCCACATTTTAAATTTAATAAAGCGAAATTGTTGCATTTAAAAACTAAGATCTCTTATAGAAGGCTATTAAATTCATTATCTTGGAAATAGTTTGCAAACGTGATAAGTGCGTGTGAAAATTATATCGTTCCCTAATTGCTATGATTTGCATTTTAAGCTTGGGGCAATGAATCGTGTGGGAGCTAATATAGAAATAAAATACGTATATTCAGATATATATTTAAGTTAATAAGGAGACAAAAGAAGCAAAAGTAACTGTATTTGTAAGCTGTTTCAAAGTTATTCTTCTTTATTTACTTGCACGCTTAAGTACTCTAAAATTAGCTGTCATGTGGTAGGTCACGACTACAAAACCAACTCCTTGTAACCGTTACTACTCAGGGAAGACTTAACCGATAGCACTCGTATATTGAGATAGTCTTAAATGTTGAAGTCATGCATGGGAATGTTATCTGTTTAATAATTTTTTTTTTCTCAACAACAAAAGGTGAATGATCTGATTTTTTTTTCAAGTTTCGTTATACCCATAGTGTATGCAGTAATAAAAACAATAAATCTCTGTTTTTCCTACATTTATCCCAAATTCAATTCGAGACATGGCAATGGAATGGATCACAGGGAGGGACCACGATGCATCGGGCGCCGGTGGTAGTTTAATGGATCATCGGATTTGTAATGTCGAGAGCGAGACGCGAGAGTGAATTACATGAGTTAGGCAGTACTGCAGTTACAGAGAAGCTTTTGGCGATTTTTACGAGTTAAGTACTTTTCGCCAATGGTTACAAGCACGAATACAATACTATGGTAACGTTGTTTAGAATTCTTTTGTAGACTCCACAATAAAGATATACAGATGTATATCTTTATTGTAAGTAGATATATTATATTGTAACTTTTGTTGTTTATATCTTTTGATTCTGTGTTACCTATAATTACAGTAACACCTACAATACTATCACTTAATCATCTTATTCACTCTAGACGTGTCGGATCTTTAAAACCAAGCTTGGAAACAATACATAAAACAAGTCAAAATTAATATTGATCTATTACGGAATACGGAACTTCGGTCAAACGTGGGCAGGGTCAACAAGCTCCGCCTGACAACTGACCCAAACAGAAGAAAAATCTGCCTAGTAGGTATGTACCGGGTCAAAGCCCACACCCACACTAAGTATTTTACATAGAACTAACTTTGCTTTTCCTAATAAATAATATGCTAACTATACAACCAAAGTTTTGTATTGATACTCGTATTTTATTGCTTTATACGGATTTTGTTTTATGTTATTATCTATTCTTGTCGAAAATTTCATTTACATAATATCTTTAGCCGTGTCTGTTTTATTTTGATATAATAAGAATATATTAAAGAAGAATTTATTATTTGTTTTACTTAAAAAATCTAATACGTAATAACTTTTATTGCGACAAGCGTTCAATGATGTTTTAATTAATTATTCACATACTTGTATTTATTTGACTTACCGACAGATGTGAATTATTTTTGTGCTGATGCGTCTATGAGTGCCTTAATACATAACTTCGTTGTTCTTTTTAAACTTTGCGACGTGTATACGTATCAGATAAGTAACTCGGGACTTAATTGCTATAACATATTATGTAAGGTGATTTTACTCGTATCTTTATCTTTTTGTTCAAACGTTTCCAGAATTGCACCGAACGTTGCACCACCTGTGACTGCGTCCCGAGTCAGACATGTAACTTGATTATTATTGTCGTATCTTATTGTTTCTAAAATTTATCATAACTTTACGATTTAATTGCTATTATGCTATTTAAACTAAAATTGTAGCCGAATGTAAAAATTAAAAAATTATAAACTTGTGAATTAAATTCCATCCTATAAACGCTCGATTTATTAAATTGATCTATTTTTAAGCTTACCCCTTAAAGCAACGAGCTCATTGGGTAAATTTTTAACTTTACCCAGTACAATACCGATGCGAACCCGCTCTTAGACAAACATTTTGTTTAGCTGAAAAACATTAATAGGACTTCTGTGAACTCTTAACAGGAGCACTAGTAATGTGTTACCACCGTTAATAGTATAATAAAAATGGTAGTGGAAATAGTGGCATCACGTGTAGATTCAATACAGTCTCCTCAAGGAGACCGGTCGTTTTTACTATTTGAATCTGGCCTCCCACATTCGACCAAATATGATGAACGCAAGTCTTGCTTTTAAAATAATAGTGTATAAAAGATCTGTCACACGGAATGATGATATCTTTTTTTTTCTGTGTACGTAATCTACTTAATGTTACATAACAACGTATGTACATAACTATATATTTAAATATTTATACATATCAGAAACGAAAAACAGAATGTTTTAGAAAAGTCACGGTATTAATAAATTCTGAAGACATGCATTCTAGAAAAAGTTCAAAAATATGCTAACAAAATGTTTAATTTTCGGAAAAACTGGAAGCCTGTCGCAGGACACGGTCGTTGGCCGATTCATTTCCTCTTGCTTCTTCTCCGAGTAGCCCACTATAGTCCTCATCGTTGACATACTTCGTTCTGAGTACCCTCTTCTGTTAGTCCACCGTACCCCTGTATGCCATTCGCTCACACTAGCTATCCAGCTAAAGCAGAAAATCGTAACACCGGCGAGTAAAAACTTCACAACGCGCACAAACGTCCTCCCTTTCGCTGGCATTTTGTTGATTATGCCATTAGAGTGATTAGTAAAATACTATCATCAGAGCCAAGAGGGCAGGAAGTAGTGAGTGGCGTAGTTAAAAGGGTGCGCGTGCTTTGCGGGTCGCGAGGCGACGCGACGCGCATGCGCTCCGGACGCGCTACCATGCCGGACTGCGCTGGATCAGCTGATAGCGTATCAACAATGCTTCCCTTGCGGCTAATCGTTCTAAACGCCAGCAAACGTGGAAATCTAGTTTTCTATACCAGTTTACACTTGAGATTTTTCTTTTGCAACACGGCGACGTGAATGCACTTCAATTTGCAGCTAGTTTTTCCAGAAATACTTGAGATTGTGGTGATCTCACTAGGAAAAAGATATTTTATGGCAACTCTTAGGAAGGATTAGATTAGTCTATCTGGGAATTACTTTAATTGCGATAGATCGATTATGTATACTGGTCCATAATTACCTCTGAGCTTTTGTAATTATGTAGGTCTCCGTGGGATAAAATATTACCTAATACGGATGTGGTAGAGAACCTGCTATCAAGCTAAATGAAAATTTTCTTCTAATCTATTGACTTGGATCAACTAGACGTGATACTAGTAACACCTATGTTTAACATTTTTTTCTGATATTTACATGTTTTTTTTTTTGCTTTCTTTTTTATAGAAAAATGTTAGTTTTATTACAAATTCTTAAATCTGTGAAATTCAAAACTGGTCGTAACATCGGGCAAGTCAAATGCTTGCATTTAGTACTTTATTAACTAGGATATAAATAGAAAAGATTCACAGAAATTCGATAAGAGATTGGCGGTCTCACTCATTTTTGTATATTGGTGATCTTCGAAACTAATCGAGCAAATGGACGTATTTTAATTCGTATAGTGATTGTAACCATATTCTATATTTTGATAAGTTGTTTTTTGTGACTTGTCTATCGTCAAATTATATGTTTGAGGATCGAGGATCCCTGTTGTTGTTAATGTTGACGTACATGTGTATGTTTAGCACTGGGAATGAGGGTAGGAAAGTCCAGCCGTAACTAAGCTAAACCTAAGGTACTTAGGGGTTACACATTTTAAGGTAAGTGATATCCATTATTGTCTTCCCTTCGGACGATAATAATTTAAGTTATTGTTTATCTTTTGTGTCTGTTAAATGAATGCTTATTTGTTATATCAGTTCCCACATATAAAATACTTTAATTCTAGTTTGTTATGGATAAAACTGGAACTATACATGTAGGCTTCGAGGACTGAGAGAACTAAGTTAGTTATAGATGTAGATCGTTTCATCTACATGTTGATGTCACTTCATCGGGTAATCGGATGTCTCGTTCGGTTAGTAATTTCATATATAGTAAGTAAATCGAATCGAACGAAACATTGCTCTAATAAAGTGCAAGGACGGTTTAAAAGAGAGACTGAGGTTTATAGAACAAAAAATCATGTAGGCTTTGTAGTTTAACATTCGGATTTTGAAATGAAAGTATTAAAAAAAAATCTAATTGAAAATTATTCAAATATTTGTCTTGCTGTAAAATCTTTGCTGTAATATCTTACGTCTTGTTAATAGCGAATAATCCATACTTCCATACTTATACTCGAATTATAAATGTGAAAGTGAGTTTGTTTGTAACGCTTTCACGCCTAAACTATAAAACCGATTTTAATTGTTTTTCAAGAATGAAAAGCTACATTATCAGCAAGTAACATAGCCTACTTTTTACCGCGCCGCGGGCTAATGTTAGTAACCTCTACTATCTCTAACCTTATGGCTTAGAATAGTTTTCAATACCAGCATTCTCTGCCTCTCTCAAAAAACTAATAACCCAACAACCAAAACACACACAAGGATACATCAATCTTGTTTCAGCAAAGTGAGAATAATTGTTGTCCACTAATTACACTAGCCACGAGCGTTCACGTGCGCTTAAGAAACTCGTAAATAACTTCGACATTTTAATAAACACATCAGCTTAATTTAAACACTTTTTCAATAGCTTCTGATAACATCTGCTTGTATTAATTTAACGATATTATGTCGCTACCGATTCTCATTGTAATTGTGGATGGCAAATAATTGTGCAACTATGTATGTTGTTCGATGCAACTAGTAATTAGTTGGCGTTGAAAAAATCATTAAATGTCAAATATTTTTTATTTGGATCGTTTATAAATAAGTTTAGTATGTTCATTGACTTTGTGGTTTATCAATACGTGAATAGACATGTTTTTACTTTTAATAATTGTAGGTTACGAGCGGTTACTGTACTGAAGGTAATAATTAATGTTTGAGAGTGAATGGTCTTCATGTCGTGGAGGATATGGACTGGCGAGAAGTTTTAATTGAATACGGGTTTACCTGTACCTGTACCTACCTGTACTTCATTGGAGATACCCTATTATATGTTTAGTTAATTAGGCATTAAGTTGACACTTTTTCATAGGGCTTTTTTATTTCGTAGGGGGCAAACAAGCAGACGAGTCACCTCATAGTAAGTGACTCCTAAACCTCAAGGGTCACAAGTATGTTGCCGCCTTTTGAGTCCTTCCTCCCAACATCAGGTTGGGCTCCGGTAACCTTATGCACTCTGTGAAAACCAATGAAAGAATTGCTTCATACTGGTTTTTAGTGAGGCCGTATCACTAAGGTCGAGCCAGTCTTTTTGTGCAGAAGCTTGGCTCTCCCACGGTAACTTATGCATTTAGGCAAAAAGTCACAAAGCGAGCATTGTTTTAAACAATAGATTAGATGCAATTACGTCGTCAAATTTTATGGTGATTATTTAAAAAGAAAACCTACAGGTGCTTCTAGCCAATATAAGAAGTCCCATTAAGAACCTTATTAGAATCCCTGAACTAAAACACTTCATTATCAGATAACACATCGTTACTTTATAAGTGCTAATTCTAATATTTAACTCTAGACGGCGCAATCTGATCATAACTAGATTTTAATGAGGCCACCTCGTTAACATGCAGATTAAAAAAAGAAAACACTTACAAAACAATTAGCTGGGAAATCAAGGAGAAATTAGTGTGCATACATAGAAAGAACTATGAATAAGCTAGGTATATAGCGTTTTCGGCATCCGTGACAATAGAAACATTGAATGAACGCTTGTGTAGTCGTGAGAAGATTACTCGTAAAATGTATGTGCCATAAAGTTCATGTTTACGTGTAAAAAATTATGCAGACATTGAGTTTAGCTATAACAGATAAAATTATAAATAGACTTAGACTTAGTCAGTAGTTACTCAAAGGCACTTGTTAAACTGCAGGATATTCTGATGTTACCCTTTGTGCGTAATCAAGCGAAGCATAAAATGATTTCCTGTGAGACGGTTAACAATTTATGTTTCCAAGCGTAGTTGCTTTAGTTTGTAAAAAGTTAATTTTGCATTTTGTGGTTACAATTGAAGTGTATAATTCTATACCAATAAACATCAGACATATTATTAGCCAGACTTCTAATTGCCTACTGCTCAATATAATATTTTATGAAGTTATAATATTTGTATTTTTTATAAGGTAGGTAGTTGAGGAGCTCGCTACGCAGCGGCAATCATGCGAATCAAGCAAGTGGCGCGGCGTTTTAACTTACAATAGTTTGATCCACAGATGGGCGACCATATTTTATCTAAGACATAACGCACCTTGTTGATCGTAAAAACTTGCAGAACTTCACAGTGTTGTGAGTGTTGTATTTATATTTTGACAGTATTTACTTCATTTACACGACATGTATAATATTTTCAGACATTTGACACACAACGTCATCTAGTTTCAAACTAAGCAGAGCTTGTACTATGAAAACTACATTGACTGATAGAATACTTATATACTTTTTTTTTGTAAATACATACACATATTATACATATAAAACACCCACTAAAAACTCGACCCACTGACCCGGAAATCGAACCCTTGACTTTGACGACCGGATGGCGTAGTGGTTTGTGTAACGGATTGCTATTCCAAAGATCGCGAGATCGATTCCCGCTCAAGTCAAACATTTCTGCGCATGTACATTTAATGTTTGACTTGATCTATGTGTTTCTATGTATAATATGTATGTAGTTACAAAAAAAAGTATCTAGGTATTTATGTCAGTTGTCTAGTAGCCATAGTACAAGCTCTGCTTAGTTTGGGACTAGATGGCGTTGTGTGAATGTGGTAGAATAATATATTATTATTATTACATTACTACCTCAGCACAGCAGTCGCATACGCTACCACTGCACCACCGAGGCAGTCGTATCGTTTAGTATTTGAAGTCTAATATAGGTCTATAGGTAAATTTGTTATTCTGATGCCTTTAGCCATTAGAAATTCTTCAGCTTTATAATATTATTAATTAAAGATGAAGAATTGGATAATCTTCAGAGGTACTTTAAATACCAGTGAGTGTTAAATTTTTATTTAAAATAAAAGAAATGATTTCAACATTAACGTATTTACACATTGTTGAAACAATCTACTTGTTACAACAATGTTTCAATGGTCAGGAGATCAGGTTTAAGATCATAATAATATAACTTGTTCTATTTCCTTAGGAATTTTTAGCACTGTCACATTAGATTATCTAAGTACACCCAATCATGGTCATACTGGAGATGATACTTTATGCACCCTCTATCGTTATCTAATTATAATTTTCTACTTTAACATAAATCTCTAATAACGTAGTAAACAAGTTCGATCACACGAGCGAAGTTGCTGAACGATATCTACTTTTCTTAAATGCATCCTGAATCCTAAATAATGGACGTATAAAAAAAGTCGGACGGAACTCTCGCTAAAGCAAAACTGAGGCACCGTAATGGCAGTAGCTCTGTGTGTGTGAATGAATTTTGGGGCTGCCAAGTTACCCAAATATATACCCTAAAAACACAGTCAATAATAAAAAATATTTTAATTGTTCGAAATTTTACTGTTTAATGTCCTAAATGCTGAGTCATTTTTTTTTATAATAATATCTTTTACTTTGAGATGTTCTTGAAATTT